TTAATATGGGATTGGAAGGAATTTTTGAGCCTGTTTTGTTGCATACTATGCTGTATGTGTATAGGCATGCACCTCTGCAGAAATGAGAGATGATTTTGTTATCAAAATTTGCCCAATGCTCAATTTTAGATTTACTTGGTATAGCTGTTGGGGCCAGATTATGTTTTTTAAGGATATATATGTTTTTCATTACCAGAGACAAGTGGAAAATCATTTTAGCCAGTTTATGTAGCCATGACGTGTGTCGAGTTACAGAGATGATGGGATAGAAAATTAACTTAAAAGAATTAACCAAAGGTAGGATTAATGCAGGTCGGCTCAGATGACCAAGCCTTAATTTTGGAAAATGACTCTTAAAGGCATGCAGGTTTACCAATTGCTGTCTGCCAATGAACCTTGATTGACAATGATGATCTGAATCATTTCATTTAGGAGAGAAACAAATTACCGTATATTCCGGCATATAAGACGACTGGGCACATAAGACGACCCCCAACTTTTCCAGTTAAAATATAGAATTAAGATGACTCCCATGCATAAGACTACACCCGCATATAAGACGACCCCTGACTTTTGAGAAGATTTTCTTGGGTTAAAAAGTAGTCTTATACGCCAGAATATACTGTACTTTTTCTGCAAATGAGTTATTCAGTATTTATAACAGAGACATCCCTTTTTTATTTATTCTTTGCTCCAGCTCATAATGACATAAACAGTGCTCACTTTTCATCTGCTAATTTCATTATTTAGTTTTAATGATCTGGGGCACAAGAGTGATGATGACGATGATGACAATGTAGTGTTAAACCGCATAACACTTCCTATATCATCCCAATGGTCCCCTTAGCACTTTGTCAATAAGCAGATTTATATTTTACAATCCATCTAGTTTTCCCTCTTATTGTTCACACTCGAGTAACCTGTTTCAGGAATGTTTCCAACATCTTAGTTAATATTACCCTAAACTCTCGGTGCAAAATTTGGCCTTTAATCTGTACTGGTACATGAGAATTTAGATTATGATTGGCAAGAGACTAATTTTCCTAGATTGTACACATTAGTGCAAGGGCTGCTTCTGTGTATTAGAATCGGTTTGGAAATTTTCTTGGGCTCCGATTCCTCCAGCCAGCATGACTACTGGGAGACGCAAGCAGTTTTAGTTCAGCAAAGTAGCTTTTCCATGTTTTGCAAGTCCAATTTGGTCTACTTTTCCTTCTGTCTTGTCTCGCCTTCTTGGATCAATGGGCCTGAAACCCGGGCTATAAGATCAAAAGGTGTAAGACTGCTATTACCCACAAACACAATAAACTGCACTGCAACTTTGAGTCTCCTGTGGCAGAGATAAAGTGGGGTATAAATAAATATTATAATAATAATAATTTCATGTAGATTCAGCTTTGGATGAATAAGCAGAGTATAAGTCTACATTATTATGACTTAAAGTGCTTGTTCACCTTTTAGTCTATATAAATTTACAGCCTTGAATACAGAATTGCCACATTCAGGCCTAAATTTCACTAATAGTTCTAGGTAGAGTAGTCTTATAGAATCAATGCAAGTTTCCTGTGTTTTTTATTTGTTCAGTCACTTCCAACTCTTTGTGACCTCATGGATCAGCCCACACCAGAGCTCTCTGTCAGCCGTCACCACCCCCAGCTCCTTCAAGGTCAAGCCAGTCACTTCTAGGATAACATCCATCCATCTTGCCCTTGGTTGACCCCTTTTCCTTTTTCCTTCCTTTCCCCCCAGTATCATTATCTTCTCCAAGCTTTTTCTGGTTGTACTGATCCATTTAGTTTTCATGACAAGAATACTGCTGTGGGTTGCCATTACCTTCCTCAGGCATTGTATTTAGTCTGAGCTCTCTGCCATGACCTTCCCGTCTTGGGTGTTCCTTCACGGGTTCGCTCGTGGCATTGAGGCGCTCAAGCTCCAGCTTCGTGGCATGGCAACAATCCTTTGCAGGAGCCTATGTGTTGACTCAGTATTAAACAACCAAGTCAACTGAGCTTCTCTTGCTGGGAATAACCAATAGGATAACACCAACAACTTCTATTATATACAGTATTCGATACAATATTCTGAAGTGGTAATAAATTATCAAACTGAAATCAATCCTACCCTCATATCAAAGGGTTTATGCTCTCAGAATTCATTTGGATATACAAAAGCACACATAGTGAACCTTACTGAAATGAAGAACTTTTGATCCCAGAATACTATAGAGTCACACTGAAGGACCTAGGAAATGCTGATGCATATATGGATAAATAAAACTGTTGATACCATAGCTGTGGATACAGAGGCCATACTCTGAATACAAATGTGCATTTTAGAAGATCAGTTACAGCTGAATCATTCAACATTTTTGCACCGAGTACATTTGGCTATAGGTTATATTTACCTAAAAGGCACAATATGAAAATGCAAAGTCAGCTCCCGAATGCTCTTTGGATTTCCAAGGCTCATGCAGAGAAGGTGAATCAAGCAAGAAACAGATGAACCCTCCATACATCTGCAGCATGTATAAACTCATTGAGTTTGGGGCCCCTGGGTTCCTGAGTATACAAGCAAGTGTGGATGCATACAGTGCAAGTTTGAGATGTTCCAACAATGTGCTTATGGAAAGGGGCCCCATACACTTGTTCCAGGACACCTGAAGAGGACTTTGGGTCTTCTTTTCAGCATCAAATACTTACCTAAGCGTACCAGAGGTAACAGATCCATATGAAGGAGCCTGACTGGCACCAACTTTTCCTTTCTTTTGCACTCTAGCTGATCTTTATCAATAAATAAAGAGGAAACTTGAACTTTTAGTGAACCCATCTTTCAGGTCTTTTTAGCTGTAGGGAACCTGTTTTCTGGGTTTTAAAGAGACCTGCTTGCCAAAGCTCAACAAAGAAAGCTGGGTTAAGCGATACAGCCTTTTAAATCCTCATCCAGCTAGAAGGTGGTCTCTGGGGGGGAAAAACAACACTATCCTAAATCTAAAAATGAAAAGGAAATGGCCTTGGTGAGCCACTAATTACAGTAATTTAATTAAGGGTAAGTATTCTAGAAGACAGAATCATAATTAGGGAACTTGAATGACACTCTTTCACATCAAATCTAGTTAAAGAGAGTCCTTAAATGACCTCCAAGTGTTTTTACTGAATAGAACTATTTAAGTAAAGAAATTCACCTGGCTCTAAACAAATTTATTAATTTTGTGTAAAAAGCATTGCATAAATAAGTATAAAACTGATGAAATATAGAAAGCCCAAATGGCTAAGTAATTTTAGACCAACAGCGACTGCATTGTCTGTAGTTTTAAACAATTCTTCTTCTGTGCATGAGGAAGGGCATTGTGGACAAGAACACAGGTACAGAGTTGTTTGTTCTGTTCCACAATCGCACAAGGTGGAGGATTCTTCTAGGTAGTGCCATTTTGCCAGGTTGTCTTTTGATCTGCCCACTCCACTTCTGAGTCTGTTCAGGGACTTCCAAGTTGCCCAGTTTTGGTTTGCCCCTGAAGGCATACCCTTTGGGGGGGGGTGGACATCCAATTGGGATTTCCTGGTTCAGTGCCCAGAGGGATACTCTTGCTGTTGCTGGGTGAACATTAAGAGGACTGGTGGTTCTCATGAAGCTTTTCCTTGATTTGAGTCTGTGGGGAGGAGGTTGATAACCATGCAGTGGATGGCTTTCACAGTGTTCAACCTTATTTCTCTCAGTTAGTAGCAACTTCCCATTGCACATTTGGGGGGAGGGGCAATGCCAGCTAGCTTATAAAGTCTATCAACAGGTGTAGGTTTGAGACATCCTGTGATTATTTTGCATGTTTTGTTCAGTGCTATATTTACCTGTTTCGCGTGGGCAGACTTGTGCCAAAAAGGGCAGGCATACTCAACAGTTGCATAAGTCAAGGCCAGGGCTGATGTTCTTACTAATTTTATGTGTTCACCCCATGCGCTGCCAGTAAGTTTCTGCACAATGTTATTGCATGTAGCTACTTTGTGCATGGTGTTCATACAGTGTTTCCTAAATGTTAGTGTTCGATCTAAGGTGACACCAAGACATTTAGATTGGGAGGAGTGTTCGAGCTCTTGGCCTTCCCAGGAAACTTTCAATTTCCTATTGACTTCACGGTGATGTAGGTGGAAAGCACACACTTGTGTCTTGGCAGGGTTAGGCTTCAGGTAGTAATCTTTGTAGCAGCTGGAGAGATCATTCAGGGCATTAGGACGTTGGTTTTTGACTGTTTCAAAATGTTTTGCTAGTTTTGTTAAGCCAAGATCATCAGCATATATAAAGCTCTTTGTTATAGCTATGGCCGATCAATTCTACAAATCCACTCTCAGGGGAAAAAAAATGAAGTGTACAGTATTAGTAATAGTTTCCCATTTTCTCATTTGTGTATTTGTTGTGCTGAGTCAAGCATAAACCAATAGTTCCTAATCTGAAATGGGGCATGCTATATGCTCCAGAATGCGTCAGTATGAACCTTGAAAATTTTACTTACTATGCTAAAATTATTCACCACTTTTTTGTCTCCATGGAGTGGGGAGGCTTTACTGCTTCATTAAATCAGAATAGCAAGAGAGCCCACATAAGCACTCTTCCAGAGTTTGGAAAACTTCACTTTTTTTTTTTGACAGAATCCCCCAGAATCCCACAGCTAGAACCAAAATCCCCCCAAAGGGGCACTTTCCCATGATCTATTCCCCTTTGGAATTAAAGGTAAGCAGCAGGCTCTGAAGACAATTTTCTTGCACATTGCCCATTCATCTGCTTCCATGTAACAATAAGTGTGCTGTTAATCTGATATTTTTGTGTGGTAGAAAGTTATTAACACACTCCAAAGCTTAATTTTCTCTACAATTATATACAAAGTCAAGGACAAAGGCATGTGCCTACTGATAAAGAATGCATAAACAGCAAGATGTTACGGCATTCTACTACAAAATAACAATTACTTGGCTGAAAAAAAAAATCTGTCATATATAGTTAGAAAAAGATCATAAATTTGTTATATGTTTATATTGAAATATTCACTTTTTGTATATAGCTGAAAATAAATACAGCATTCTGTACAATGCCCAATGTGCATTAAAAGCATATATTAAAAACTGACAATAGATGAAAGTGTGAAATAACATGATTGAAAGCAAATTATTCAACATAAAAATACCGAAAGCATATATGGAGCTAGAAATGGTCCAGTTGATATTATCAATACCTGCAACTATCCAATTTTCTCAAAAGTATATGAGGCTATGTCACAAATTCACATGAACCCTATCGGAATTAAAAACATTTTATAGTATGTTTTCAGCATGATGTAGTTTAGGATATTTTGAAAAAAGATCCCTGACAAAATAGGGACTTAATCTAAACATTTTCTCTTCGATTTATGCTAAATTATAAACTTTTAAATGGGGAGAAATAGTCCCATACATAAAAAAACAACTCTGCTTGCAGAAATATGGTATTTTTTGCTGAAGTAAAAAGAATTCAACTCTGTCCCAAGTTTTTTGTGAGTCTCTTCCAGCGCTTCAAATTTTACGTTTTTTCCATTCTGGTTTGTCATCTGGTTCATCTTCATCTGATTCTACTTCTGCAAAAACAGTTTTTGGCTGGGTCCTAAAGAAATATTAAAAATAATGATTAAATCACAAGTGAGCACATTCATGTTTGGCCTTGAAATAAGGCAAAATAATTTGAACATTTATCACTTTGAAATTTTCAGATGCAACATTTGCAATACAATTATAAAGAAAATCTTCCAAAAAAAGAAACCTTAAAAAAAGAAAAAAAAACAGTTTAATAATCAACGCCATAAGATAAAAGACAACTGAAGGATAAATGTAGTGCTATAACAACTGGTTTCTACATTTGAGGTAAGACTCCAGATTCTGTATGGACATATCAGTACAAGTTAAGAACTGTTGAGGAATAGTTAACTGTTATTAAAATCACAGATCTTCAGTAGGTTATACACCACAGATGTCCCTCTACTGATGTAAGACTCTTATCAGAAGTGGGACAGTTCCCCCTCTCCTTGCAGACTACCTTCAATTGGTCCACTGTTTTATGGTATCGCATCATTCACCCCTTAGATGAAGTAGGTGTTCCTGTTGGTTTCTAGAATAGGTTGGAGTGACTATGGGTAATTCAAGAGTTGCTCCAGAATATCTTTGGTTTATCTCTAGAGAAGGGGGTGGGCAATCCACTCAATGGATTGTCACCTTGTGTGTTCCAATGAACCTGAGGGCATAACCACCGGAGTCATGCACTCCCAGGGAGGGGGAACGCAGGGGAGGTTCTAGACCAAACACAATCCAAAGACCTCAATAGCAGATGAGGCAGAAGATAACATGGTACATGTTACAATGGTTGTGAAGGCAGAAGAAAGCTGCAACTGATTGAGAAGCTACCAACAAGCTACCCTCAGGGAGCAAGCTTGTTTTCTGCTTCCCTGGAGACTAGGACGCGGAACAATGGCTTCAAACTACAAGAGAGGAGATTCCATCTGAACATGAGGGAGAACTTCCTGACTGTGAGAGCCATTCAGCAGTGGAACTCTCTGCCCCAGAGTGTGGTGGAGGCTCCTTCTTTGGAGGCTTTTAAGCAGAGGCTGGATGGCCATCTGTCAGGGGTGATTTGAATGCAATATTCCTGCTTCTTGGCAGGGGGTTGGACTGGATGGCCCATGAGGTCTCTTCCAACTCTTTGATTCTATGATTCTATGATCTGTGAAGACTGCATGTTAATCGGCTGTGCCCTGACCTCCACACATTAAAAAAAACCTCACACACAAGCATCTTCCAAGAACTTGGAAGGCCATCAAACTCGGACAATGAGGAATCATGTAAGTAAGTAAGTAAGTACACCTACAGGGACATTTTTGTAGCCCTCATGGCACCACAAAAGGCAAAAACAACTGGAGGCACTATCACTATGCCCTGGGCTTCCTTCTTTATTGCCTTCTTTAAAAAATCCCTGTATTGAACAAGGCCTCTCATTTGCCTAGAATGGGTTTGTGGCGCTAGAAACAAGGCAAAAATTTATTGTTGTAGGTTTTTTGGGCTGTATGGTCATGTACTAGAAACATTCTCTCCTGACATTTCACCTGCATCTATGGCAAGCATCCTCAGAGGTTGTGTGGATACCTGCCATAGATGCAGGCAAAATATCAGGAGAGAATGCTTCTAAAACATGGCCATACAGCCCAAAAAACCTACAACAACTCAGTGATTTCGGCCATGAAAGCCTTTGACAAGGCAAAAATGACCTGCCCCTCACATTCCCTAGAGGGCATTGGGTGACATTTAAGGGGATTTTTTTTTTTGCAGGAATATGGCACCCCGAAGTCTCCTAGAGGGTTAAGGTGGTCTCCTAGCCTCCCATAGCTGCTCACCCCTGCTCTAGAGTCTCACTGGCTCCTAACTGGCAAAGACTATCCAGTCAAACCCCCTGTCATAATGGACATAAATTGGATATTAGGAATGGGAATATACAAAAACCTATTTCATAACATTTAAATCTAGCTGGATATTCCATTTTGGACCTCAAAAGAACAGTTCTTAAACAAACAAACAAATAAACACAACACTTCTGAGAAATTGAAAAGAGAAACAGTGAAATTGAGATATAAAGTCCGGTTCAATGACAAGACGTTGCTCAGGAACAATGATATACTCACACACGATACATATAATAACAACAGCTAACATTCCAGCCTCACGAAACATCCTTTAATCACATTTCTTTTCTGTTTCCCAGTCAGTACCATGCAATATTCCAAGGATTGTCTTCACTATTCTTTTTTTTATTCATCTTGGTTTTAGGCACCATTTTTTTTTCACCATTGTCTTCCAACAACCATAGTTAAAATTATTGTAATTCTATGTTTTTTTTACCATTTTTGGTCTATGCATTGTTTATGTCTGACACTTTGCTGTGCTTTGTTACTCACTCCGAGTCCCTTAGGGGACATGGTGGCGGGGTACAAATAACATTTATTATTATTATTATTATTATTATTATTATTATTATTATTATTCTCACCCACAGGTTTTCTATTTCTATTAGTATTCACAAACATATACACTGCCATTAACTGATATAAATGTCTTTCCACAGGAACTTCACTCTATTCATCTGGTGAAGTAGACCCAGTCTACAAGAGATTATGCTACTACCTTTTCCCCTCAATTACTCTCAAAGATAATATAAGATCCCTCTGCACATCATCCTGCTGAGTTACACTCTTGGTTGAATAATTAATTTCTTCTCCAAATCTGGTGAATATCACTTAGTTTTCAGCTGCAAAGATGACTGATGGAAATACATATTTTGAAAAAAATGCATGCATCCCATGATATTTGTTAATAAAGTTCTAGTACACTGTTTTGACAGCTGCCAGAATACAAAAACAGAGACGTGGCTTGTGGTTCAGATGATGCATGAAGAAAATCTCCATTAGAAAAATGTGACTGCACACTATCATGATAATTATTTTCATATGAACATGTAGTGGATCAAGCACAGATGGCCTACATATTGGAAATTCGACCAAGATGTCACCTGTATATAATGTGAAGTTTAAATCAATTACTCCTTGGACATTAAAAATCTGTACTAAAACATGTTCAGCGAGTTACTTCTGTGCTCACTTCTAGGGACATTTTCCATTTCAGTCCATTCTTAGCCAATTTTCTTCTAAAAGCTTTGCTTAGAAATTGGTGATTACAAAACTCTAAGCAGTGCTAGAGAAACCATAAAGTACTTGCAATAAAGCTGCTGTGTGCTGAGCAACAATTATCATGTGATTTATAAAAGACAAGGCAGCATAGTTTTGTCTATGAATAACAATATTTTTATATTAGAAGGACAAAAAGTACTATGTCGGATTACAGCTATTTTTGGCATATTCTGCTCGGCTTGTAAAAGCCAGGGATAAAAGGACAACTTCCCCTTAAGAATTGCTTTTGCTAAACAAATTTGATAAGGACTGCAACCTGAACTTGCCTATTGGGGCTTTCAAACAAACTAGCTTCTAAGTGCTGTGATTAAAAGGGAAGAAAAATCACTGGAGCAACTTGACATCTAGAGCCCAAATTACAAATTATCTTTGTCTGCAAACTGCAAGGTCATTTCAGGCATGAAAGCAGGCTTCTGTCCGGAGGATGAAGTCTTTGTAGTTACAAAAGCTGGTGTTATTATCTCCCTTCCCTTGTTAAGGGCAAAAGGTATGTAATCTTTGCTAGCTTTTTGTCGATACTAAATCCCAAGAACTATTTCAAATGGATGGGCCAATTATCTCATACATCAATAAAGCAACCTGATTTCTGATGTCTCTACCAATGATACTCGCAGCCACAGCACAGATAGGGTGGGTGGATAGTGCTACACAAAACTGTATCAGACAAACCAGCATAAATACTTTATTTATAATTTCAAAGTCATAGCTTTCTTCATTGACAATTGACCACTACTCTTATTTTTCACTTGATATAATCCATTCAAAGAAAGCAAAAACTTACATGAGATTAGTGATGTGATTAGGTAAAGAGAAGCAGACTGTACATGCAGTTCCAGTTTCCAGGCAAAGGACAAAATGTTAGTTTTGACCTTTAAATTCCTATGTTTTGGGTCCATGTTACTTTCAGGATTGCCTTCTCCTGTGTACTCTGCCCCTAGGATACTTAGGTCCTCTGGGGGACAATTACTCCAGCCAGCCAGAATCCAACTGGCGACCATGACCTCAAGGACTTTTACATCAGCCACCCCAAGGCTGTGGAATGACCTGCCGGAAGAGATTGACAGCTAAATTAGCTGTCAGAATTCAAGATACAACTGAGGATCAATCTCTTCAGGCAGACATACCCAGTCAATTTTAAACTGTGCGTTTTAAACAGCATTTTATTGGTACTGGTGTCGGTCTTTGTTGTCTGCATTTGGATCTAGGCATTTTAATTGTGTTGTATTTGTTTGTCTGTTTTATCAATTTTGTATCCCACCGTGACCCATAGGAAGAGGCAGGTAAATAATAATAATAATAATAATAATAATAATAATAATAATAATAATAACTTTATCCAGTTAACACTAGGAAGAAATGATTGCTAACCTATAACTATGTTTCTTCAAGTGGTCATCTGTGAAATTCACAAATATGGTAGTTGTGGCACAGATGCATCAACTACCATAAGAGAGCATTTCATAGAGACCACGATGGAGAAAAGTGCAAGTCAGAATATAAAATAACTTGCTTTCTCTGTATGTAATTTATACAATAACTTTGATTACTCAGAGTCTGCGATTCTCGAACTGGGAGGAGGTATTATTAGAATCCTTCTAAAACAAGCTATGACATACAACAATAGTCTGATTCTCTGACATGAAACTGCATCATCACTATGCTTCTGGTTACTGCCCCAATATCCCCTTCCCAACTGGTCTCATCTCATGCATGTATGAACAGGAATTTGCCTACTGCCCACTTTCAGCCTGGTGCAAGGTGAAGAGCCCATTCAACACTATGAGTCTTCTGCATTTCAAATGTGCTTGTTCATTACACTGCAGGTATCAGGGATGATACTTAATTAATGAGGTTACTGGGTTAACCACTCACCCCCGATCATTACTAGTGTGATGGAATATATTGTAATACTGGTTGCTTAAAAAGGGAAAGTTGCATCTCAATGAAAAGAAAAGGAAACATTTAATACATTTTATCTCTTCCCAAAGAAAAGGTAGCTACACTGAACTATTTCACTGCTTTCACTAAATTTTGAGAAATACTGTTTAAAGTACAACTGTATGTCACAAATATGGACGATGGAAATATAGTGGAAATGACATTTGGTGATGTGAAGTTTTATTGGTTTCTGCTCCAAGGCTGGGTAAAAGTTGGTGTGTGTGTGTGTATACATGAATAAATGACAGTAGTATTGGTCACTCAAATGGCCTTTCAGTGTTTTAGTGACAGTCTGCAGAAAAAACTGGACACATGTCTCAATATGCCAAAAAAATAGCTATTTTATTAGTTGAAAAGTCCAAAGTATTTTGGCCTGTGTGTGCCCTTAAGGTTTTCCACAAGAGGCATTTAGATTCTTAAGTTCCACCATTCTCTGAACCAGAGAATTTTTGAAGTCAGATTTCTAATAGCTCCTAAACATACACTTATCAAAGTGTGTTGATCTTCCTAACCAATAAAATAAGAATTTTTAAGACATCTTGAGAAGTATTTCCAGCTTTTTCTGTGGATTTTGTGAGTGCTCCTCAATCTGTGTTCCCCATTTTAATTCATGTGCAAACTCCACTGAGTTCAATGAGGCTTACTCCCAGGTAAACACACAAAGGGTTCAGCCCACACCATTGTTGCAAATGCTGAAAAGTTAAACTCCAAACATAGGAGGGCAAGAACAGCTGTGTAAACTCAAATTACGGAAATATTTTCTCTGGTATCAGCTGAGTAAAACAGCACATGGCAAGGATCACTCTCCCTGATCTGGTGCAACCTTCTCCAACCTGGTGCTTTCCAGATGTTTTGGACTAAAGCTCTCATCGTCCCAAGCTAGCAAAGCTAGTTAGGCATATGCTGACAGGTTTTTAAACATTATAGCAGTGCTGGGAAATGAACACAAGAAAAAGTGACTCTGTCACAGATGTACCGAAATCTAAAGGGGCACCATAGACAGAGGAGTTTCAGAGTAAACACCAACACCTATCATTTATTCATATAGAACTATCAATGCACTCAGAATTGTGTAACAGTGAGCAAAGCCTATCCTTGCAGAAAGCTGACAATGTAAAAACATTTCTTTCAACAAAGATATTGCTTTACTTTTTATAGATGGTGAACATTATTTATGTGCAGCAAATCTGTGTCATTGTTCATTCGCCCTATTATACAAACCGTATTTGTGGTTTGTGTCCTGGTTTGTGGATACTTCAGAAAAACATTAACATACTAACATCTGTTGAAAAAATGTACCAGATTTTTTTGAAGTTTATTTTAAAATCAAATTAAATACTTCAATTAAATATTGAAAGACCACAACACAACAGGATTTCTTAATCCTAAGAAAGTTTTTTTTAGTTCTAATTTTAACTAACTCATGTGTCATTCTAGTATGTGGCAAACTTAGTTTCCTTTAAAAAAAAAAGGAAAGGAACTGCTGACATCCTATCAGTTTTCTACATTAGTGGCAATGATCCAAAAAAGGGCAGAGTATAGTGTTGTTAAATACGTCTCCTGCTTATATTCAAGTTCACCAGGGCTTTACAGACATAATACATATGGGTATCTCCCACTGCCTCTTAAGAAAGTTTCCTTACTTGGAATACGCTGGAGCAACCCAGTATGGGTTCTCCTCTGCTTCCTTTGCATGTCGTAAAATGGCCTCCCGAGGGTTGCTATCATCAGTTTTATCCAGTGCAATATTCTTGACTATGTATGAAGACAGAGTACCGCCATGAGTTCCAACACGGCCACCACGACCTAATATAGGAGAAGATGAACAGATGTGCAAGGTGGTAAGAATAAATTGAGGAGTCAAAGGTCAGAAAGAAAACATATAAAACTGCATTCACACAAACAAACACTATTGTTCCAATACAAAAGCAGGTCCAAACCTTGCTTTAAACTTGCTTTTTCAGGATGGATTCAAACTTTAATCTTGCAATAATGTTTTGCTTACCGCAGCTTAAAAACAAATGATTACCTGGTCCTGCAACTGGAGGTTCAGGTTTATGAGATTTCATTGGATCCAATCTATCCTTTTCCAGCTGCTTTCTTGTACTTCGTTGGCGTGGCTCACGAAACATTGGAAGTGCATGTGCTGAAAAAGGGAAAAAACAGTATTTAAAAACATAAAGGACTGAAATACTAGCATGGTTTAATATTCACACCAATGATAGAATGTGCAAACTTATCGGGCTTGGCAGGTACTTGGAGGAGTTTTTCTGGATGTAAAGCCAATCCTCATAGAGCATGGCATCCAGATCTTTCATTATTCCTCCTCTTGACATGTTCCCGCTTGTCAATAGCTTTCCTGAATGGTTGTGCCCGAAAATCGACACATTATTGTAGCTGAAATCTGACCAAAGCAGAATAGAGTAGGACTATTACTTCCCTTGATCTAGATACTATGCTTCTAGAATCATACTGACTTTTTCAATTGCTGCAACACTGTATTGACTCACAAACAGTTCATGGTCTCCCTTGATCTCTTTTTACATGTACTGCTGTCGAGCTAGGCGTCGCCTATCCTATATCGCTTCTTTTCTTCTTTTTTTTAACCTAAGTGTAGTACCTTATATTTTTCCCTGTCAAAAATCGTTGTTAATTTTGACACAGCTCTCTATTTGTTAAGGTCATTTTGGATTCTGATCCCATCCTCTGGGGTATTCGTGGCCTCTTCTAATTTGGTGCCATCTGCAAATATGATTAAGCATGCCCTCTATTCCATCACCCAAGTCATGATAAAGATGCTGAATAGCAATGGGCCCAAGACAGAACTTTGTGGCACCTACTGGTCACTTTCTTTAGAATGAAAGGAGCCATTTTTGAGCAACCCTTGAGTTTGGCTGAGAAACCAATTACAAAACAATCTAATAGTTGCATTGTTTAGCCCACATTTGACCAGCTTGTTTGCAAGAATATCATGGGGGACCTTGTCAAAGGCCTTAGTAAAGCCAATATACTGCACATCCACACAGCGTTCCCTTCATCTAACAAGATTAGACTGGTTTAGGAAATTATGTTTAAATCATATTTAATTTTCGTCACTTCAGTGTATTAAAATAGAGATAATAAGCTATTTAAAATATCCTGGAATCAAGCATGGCTTGGGTGGTAAAGAACAACCTGCTACTATCATTGTTCCTAAAACTAAGCACTCACAGGTCACCATAATTTCCAAACTTGAAGCCATGCTCATCATAGTTATGTGTGACCACAAAGGCGATAAAGAAATGTTGCATGTAGATTCAAACTAACCCATCTTGTAGATGTTGATTTATTTATTAGCATAAATAAGGCACCCTCTAGTTGGAGTTATTTCTTACATCTTGAATGTTACAAGAAATACGAAGAGTCAAACTTATCTTGGCAAGCTGTATGCTATACAGTTTTGCATAAAACATCTGAAGTAATTAAAACAACCTGTTCCCATACATGGAGGCAAGCCTTCTTGAAGAAATGCCATCTAAGTAATATGCCTCATTTTCTAAAAGTAACACTTAATCCCCTCAAGGGAAAACATTGCATCTTAAAGCTGCTGTCACAGAATGCAAACTGCGATCCCACTTATGATCTACTTCACTTGAGAGGCAACAAGGTTATTTTAAGTGCCACTAAGAATGAAGTTGCTGTACACTGATAGCCCCTATTTCCTCCCAGAGAAACTGAAGTCAGAAAACCATTTGTATCGTAACTGGTGAAATTGAAAAGGGTTATAGGGGTGTTATTGTAGTCTGTTCTCTCACTGTTTTATGGATCCCAAATACTCCATCCTTGTTATTTATGTTAGGAATCCTGAATTATTAAATCTTGTGATTCATGTTGTGAAGATGACGTGCCATATTTATATGTAGAATGGTCTGTAGCAATAGCCTACCCAATATTTGCAAATGTCCCACAATACATGTGGGAAATTCCATTTTTGCCAAGGAGATACCATGCCATCCTACAGATCAAACAGGCTGGTGTACAGACAAATTATTGATGTAGCTGAGCCCCATAGTTAGTGAACCAGTAGATGGAACTAGTCCTATTGGGCAAATTTTCAGCTAGAGGCTTAATTTTATTCCAAAGAGCTGGAGACAACGCTTCACTCCCTTCCTGGATGCAAATGGCCCATGAGGTCTCTGGATGGCCCATGAGGTCTCTTCCAACTCAATGATTCTATGATTATATAAGTGTTGTCTGGCTTCATTCTACTCTCCGTGAAGTAGGATTTACTGAAGGGGACAGGGTAACATGGGAAAGTGTTATAGATTATATTAGGAACCTTGGTGGCCTGCATTAGGCCTTGGTACCAACTGTTTTTCACCACCATCCTATAGTTTATGACTGTCTTGAGGGATGAAACATTTTATGATTTTCTAAAATAAGCTTTTATCTAGTTAGGAATTGAGATCCTTAACCATAATCACAAACACAATGAGAATGGGTTGGTTCTCTTTTTCATCTTGTAGTGAGAACTACAGGAGCAGAGCGTCCTATAAAAGATCTAAAATATTGGTTTTTAGAAGGGGCGAATTAAGTCTCCCTTTGCCCCTTCCAAGGACTCAGCTGTTTAAAATAGGCCTTTCCACCTACAGGGGGATAATAGTCTGTATTTAAAAAACAAGTAAAAATTACTTACGTGTGATAATATAATCCTGTGTGAGTGTCTCTGCTTGTCTCTCTTTTCTTTTTGTCTTTACAACACATAATTTTGCTCCCCTGGAAAATATTAAGAAAATAAAAAGAACCAGGTCAAAATAAGATTTTCCAGAAAACCATTAGAAAACCAATATTTCAGTGTGATCCTCTGCACATTTACTTGCAAGCAAGTTTCTACTGTGTTCATGGGTAGTCCACGCTCTGGTTACATCCCGTATAGATTACTGCAACGCACTCTACGTGGGGTTGCCTTTGAAGACGGCCCRGAAGCTCCAAATGGTCCAACATGCAGCAGCCGGGTTACTAACAGGAGCGGCGCTCAGGGAGCATACAACTCCCCTGCTGAACCAGCTCCACTGGCTGCCAGTTTGCTACCGGGCTCAATTCAAAGTGCTGGCTTTAGCCTATAAAGCCCTAAACRGTGCTGGCCCAGGTTATCTATCCGAACGCATCTCTTCTTACAAACCCTCCAGGAATTTGACATTTTCYGAGGAGGCCCTGCTCTCGATCCCACCTGCTTCGCAAGTATGTCTGGCGGGGAYGAGAGACAGCGCCTTCTCTGTGGTGGCCCCTTGGGTGTGGAACTCCCTGCCTAGGGATATTAGATTAGCCCCTTCTCTCCTGACCTTTCGGAAAAGAGTAAAAACCTAGCTCTTTSAGCAAGCATTTGGAACCTCCGAATAAATAGACAAACTTGAATTGGAAAATGACCCAGGAACGGCCCAAGACGATGGAACAGAAAAGGACTTGAATGAGAGGATATAGTTTTTAGTTTTTAATATTGTTATTATGCACTGTCTTATGTCTAATTGCACTATAATGGTTCTTTTTTGTTTATCAATGTATGTATTTTTATGGCATCAAATTGTGCCGATTCTGTACGCTGCTCTGAGTCGCCTTCGGGCTGATATGAGCGGGGTAGAAATAATGCAAATAAATAAATAAATAAATATTAACCTCCTACAAATATGTGAAACAACATAAACTATCATGTGCGTGTTTTTAAGGAGCATAACATTACAGTGTAGGCTTCCGCAACATGCCTGCCACATATATGAAACTACAGTTCCCATCATCTCAATCAGCAAACAAATGGAGATATTTACTGGGAAAGATGAGAGACATTGCCTAATAGACTCAAAGGACACAAAGTTTGTGAAGACTAATCTGGCCTATTTAAACCGTCACCCTGGGCTGCAATGTATAGGAATATGTTTTGCATTTCATATACAATGGCATTGAGGGAGAACAGCAAAGCACTGGAAAATTTGAATCAGTACCTACAATGAGTTATTCCAATTACAACTGACATAATTCAATGCCATGTTTAAGTAAACCAAGTTTAAAATGTGTGAATAAAAACTATACTAGTGTTTTTATATATGCTAGCAAAAGCTAGGCTAAAATAAACAAATATGTCACATTTCTCTGAATTGCAATGAGGATTCCTTGTGCGAAGACACATTTAATTTATGTTTGTCCTTGAAATGGTGAGACAACCAGGAGTACTGTAGTACAGTATTTTTCTTTCTTTCTATAAGCAAGCATGATGTGTTGGAGTAACCACATTTAAGGTTGAGCTTCAAAAGCAGCAACTGGGCAAAAAGAAACTCTAAGTATTTTTGCAGTTGCCAGAAGCTGTGGCACAATGAGGTAACAACAACTTCAAGCAACATAGCATAGGCCCTCTGTCCAGAATCAAATATGACATTAAAAATTTACACGAAAAGAGATGAAAGTAGTGAACAGAACCAGCTGCTTGAATTTTCTCACTTTCACGATTACTCCCTTTTGATGTAAAGTTAATGAGAAAAGGGCTCAAACACACTGGAACAGACCAGAAATCTGCTTCTGTTTCTTTAACCTCTTCTTAAACGTGAGTGAACACCACAGCTGCATACACAGATCATATCATGAAACTTTTATTATTGCAATAAATATGAGGAGCTATTTCAGAACATGTATGTTTTTGCACCCACTTGGTATTCTTCAATAGCCTATGGAAACCAACAGAGCGTGGCATGTAATGATACATTTTATAAAGCCACATTGGCTCCAAGGAGCCACAGTGGTGCGATGGATTAAACCCTTGTGCCGCTGAACTGCTGACGGTTGGCAGTTTGATCCACAAGACTGGGTAAACTCTCATTTGTCAGCTCCGGTTACTGCCAACTTAGCAGTTTGAAAACATATAATGTGAGTAGATAAATAGGTACTACTTCAGTGGGGAAAGGCACTCCAACACTCCAAGCAATCTTGCCGGACACACAATCAGGAGATGACAACGTAGGCTCCTCGGTTTGAAAAATGGAGGAGAAGAACCAGAGATGAAGCATCGCTTCCAGAAACCGAAAATGAAAAGGAGAAGCCTCTGCCTTTGTTTGTGTTTGTGTGTCTCATTGTATATTATTGTAAAGGCATTGAATGTTTACCTATGTGTGTAAATGCTGTAATCTGCTCTGAATCCCCTAGGGGAGAAGGGCAGAATATAAATAAAGTGTCTTATTATTATTACTATTAATATGAGAGACAAATAGGATATTTTTAAAAAAGTAAATTAATAAACGATTGCTTGTTAAGAAAGTAATGAGTGTTATGCCTACATGTGACATATTTGCTTTGGGTTTGCTATACTGCTTTGCCAATGGTTACTTCAAATGAGAGTTTCCTGCTATATCTCAAACATAACATTATGCTTTAACTCAGGTCACCAAACCATAATGTGAATTATGCACAGCTTGAAATTCAAGGTTACATCGTAATTTTCTATATAACTGGACATTTCTGTTCAGTGCATGATACAAGCACCAAAACCAATGGGAGATGGAAGAAGTGTGTTAGGAGAAGAGTACATAGACCACAGTATCAAACCTAAAGAACCGTAACTGAATAAGGATCATTGCATCCAGGCAGGTGCAATGTGTCAGACACAGCTAGTGTTTTCTATTACTTTAACTAATGAAACCTCATTGACATAACTTGTGCAACATTTTAATGCAAATTCCAACTATTTCAATACAAAGTTTGAATGTGAAAGTTGGCTTCTTTGAAATACAAAAGTTATCACCTTTTTGGTGAAATGAATTTATAAATGTAAAGGTCCAAGGTCTCATTTTTTTAACATTTTAACTCAACATGAAGAAAGATGATTTGGACAAACCAAATTAAATACCTTTGACTCCTGAAAGGATCATAGTACACCTTAGCCAATCCATTCCCGGTGCCAACCATGATTTGATTCAACTTAGGATGCCAGAGACAACGGACAACACTCTGAAAAGTTAAATTCGCATTTGGTCAATCATTTTCAGTTTTTTATAAAACCACAGTACAGTGAGCCTAATGCCTCAGCTTTATGAAGTTGACTTTTATAAAAAGGCTTACTTATTGGTACCAATTGTTGCCAAGATCTTGCATCAGATACCACAATATATAACTTTATAATGATGGAGCTACATCAATGACATGATAAGCAAAAAAAGCCAGTCTTTATTTGGTTTTTTTAAAAAATAAAAAAACCAAAGGTTGTTTATGTACATACATACTTGTTAACATCTGATGTGTAGTTTACTAATAAACACATTCAATTATAATTCTCCCTAAAGAAATGAGAAAAATGTCCCTTAAGTGACACAAGGCTGACCTATAAGATCAGGGTTTCTCAACCTGGGGGTCGGGACACCTGGGGGGAGGGATGTCTACTTTACCCAAACCGTACTAGTTTGGGCATATTGAGTATTCATACCAAGTTTGGTCCATTTCCATCAATATGTGTGTCCACAGTGCTCTTTGGATGTAGGTGAACTACAACTTCAAAACTCAAGGTCAATGTCCACCAAACCCTTCTAGTATTTTCTGTTGGTCATAGGAGTTCTGTGAGCCAATTTCAGCATTGGTGGAGTTCAGAATGCTCTTTGATTGTAGGTTAACTATAAATACCAGCAACTACTACAACTCTCAAATGACAAAATCCATCCCCCTTCAACTCTACCAGTATTCAAATTTAAGTGTATCTGGTATTTGTGCCAAATTTCATCCAATGAATGATGTTTTCTGTTGGAGCTTGCGCAGGCGCAGATACTCCATATAAACCATATGATTGATTGATACTCCATATGTGTGCATTCACAGAGTCCACAAAGAAAAAAACTTAGTAGTATTCTTTAGGTCATAAAATCTAAAACCATTGTAACATGAATAGCAATTAAAATTAAAGAACCACCACCACTGTCCCCCATGGTATCCCATCTTTCACTGAAAGAAAAGATGCCACTTGGAAATATAACTTGCATTACAAAACACGATCCTAGACCAAAAAAAAAAGGCTTTCATATTTAGGCAATTTCATTGTATATACATAAATGGCAAATATGATATCTTAACAAGGGAGCATAAAGTACAATTTTATTATAACAGGAGAGTATAACTTACATTTAATGTGACTTTGGGGACATATTGGATTATATATTATATTATAAAAGGGCCATTCTATGAACAAAGGGATTCAGTAGGCATATCAAATGACCAATTTCTATATCTGGGGTGTTGTTGTTTCCGGGCTGAATGGCCAAGTTCTAGCAGTATTTTCTCCTAATGTTTCATCTGCATCTGTGGCTGCTATCTTCAAGAAATTGATGGTTGTAAGACAAGTGGGGAGCAATTAGCAATCTAGATTTGTGTGTGTTGAGTGGGATCTACCCATTAGCCTGTGAGTAACCACAAAGATCACATAGTCAATTAGTGAGGGCATAGACTATGCTTTCTTCATGGTTACTCGAGAGGCTAATGGGTAGATCCCAGTCAACACATACAAATCCAGTTTGCAAATTGCACACTTCATACTTGTTTAACAGAAAATGGTTCTTTTCTCCCACCCTGGACATTCCACAAGTATATATATTCCACTTGCCTTACTACCATCAATTCCTCTGAAGATGCCAGCCACAGATGTAGGCGAAATATCAGGCGAAAATGCTGCTAGAACACAGCCATACAGCCTGGAAATCACACAACACCCTAGTGATTCTTGTCACGAAAGCCTTCGATAATACAATTTCTATACTATTTTGCCAAATATTCTCTTTCCCCAACCTTAAATTCATCCCCACTTTGATTGTTAAACATGGTTCATTTGCTAGCATGTAGTGTCTGTAAAATATACGAATTTTAGCCATCATACAGAACAGTTAGAGAGTGGGTTACCTGTAATAATCTCTGGGAAAATATTTATGTGCACAATTGGGTCAATATGTGATCAGATTTTTTCGACTGTACAAAACTGGTTTTGTAACTCTGTTCAAAATTGGGTTTTACAATTGGACAATCACACAACAGTTGGGAATGTTTTAGGGTATGGAATTCTGTTTTTGGCAGAGTATTCTTATAGATCAAATGTAAATGGACCTCCAGATGTTATCGGGCTGCAAGTCCTAGCAGTCCTAGTCAACAAAGCTAGTGTTGAGGAATGGAGTCCTAATCCAGAAAGACATGGAAGCCCTACACAAAGAAAATCTCTTCTAGCATCTCTGGCTTTGAGGTCTGGAGGAAGCGTTGTCCCTTCAGAATCATTATGCTTTGGCACTGTGCTTCTGAAGCATAGTACTTTTTCCCAACCCCAACACTAAGTGAAAAGCAATGGCTATTGCTACAGATGTGCTGCACTCCCATACTTACCGAAGCTTGTCACATTTGGTGGAGTATTTGCCATATCAAGCAGTGAAACAAATAGTAGCTTCATATGTCTAAATTTAAAAGCCAGTGTAATTCAGAGGTTTGACCTCAAATCATGCAAAAAGCAACCAATATGTGAAAACACATGAAAATACCCACAACTCTATCCCTATAAGCATCTGGAATGCCATACTGCCACCAACAACCTCAGTTTTTCTCTACAGTCCTTTGCAGGTGCCCTTTCCTATCACCGTTTTGAGAGGGACTGCCAAGTAAAAGAAGATACATAGACTTACTGTGGGGGTGCTGCCCCCAGGGGTGTCCCCACGTCCTGGCAATTGCCCACACTAGTAAAATTATTGCTTCTGTTTTTCTATAGCTGTTCTTAAAAGTACATTTGCAATTTACTATAATCTGGGTTTCAAATTTGCAAGGTTTCTGACTGAAAGGGTGGAATACACACACACACACACACACACACACACACATATATATATATATAGAGAGAGAGAGGAACACCCATAAAGGAAAACTGTCCCTTTTCATTTGTTTTATGAAAAGTTTATGAATTTTGATGTATGAACAGTTTCTTTCTGGATTAACCATGATGAGTAAGAATTACTTTGAGGCAACCAGCATTTTCTACATCTCCCTTAACCTTCATCCACTGTGAGCTGAAGGTTCAAGATGCCATAAAAGTTAAAAACATGGAGTTTTGTATAACCAGTGCACTTATGTTTTTGAGATAAATAAAGAAATGATTGCCACACTAATAGAAACGAACAGGAGCTGGTTGGAAACCTCGTTAGTTCTTTGTGTTACAGACTCTAGACGGCTATAATCCTGCTTGAATTTGAACCACACTAAACTACAGCTTGTTAGAAAGAGCTGAATGCTTTTTGTTCTCTGAACTTTTTAAGTTTTGCAATGATGCTGTAAATGATGCAGCTGATGCTTGCATTTCAATTGCACCCAAGAGACAAATGAGTTGAGTCAGAGTTGTAAGCACTGTAATTAAAAACAAGTTACAGAATCTACGACGCATCTGCAATCAGCTTCCACTTCTTCAACTGAAGTAAAATTAACAGACGGAGGCAAATAGATTTATAGTGTTTTGCATAAACTATCAGAAAATATTGTGTTAACCTCTAGCCCTACCTGCTAGCTTATGAATTCTAGGACTCCGAAAAGTAAACTTGTAAAGTATTCTTTATATGTGGGCACACAAAATAAAGCTTTTGTTCTATTTCAAGACATGCTATTATAATAATTCAGTCACTATCTGTAAATTACAACAGATTGTGTTGAAAGTGATTAAAACAGTAGTTTTCAATAGCTCAAAGAAATATTTCTTGCTATTTTTTTATGGTATATGAAAGGCTGTTGTCTTTCAGACACATATGCATTGATGATTTCCAAAAGTAATATCTAATTATATAAAACAACATGAAATAGATGAATAAGAGTGCTTCTAGATGTGACAGAGGCAAAAAGAGGAGGGAGTGAAGGAAGGAAGAACTATTGACGAGAGTTTAGGACTCTCACAACGGTGAGGTTCCATTATGTCAATAGCACTAATCCAGGTTAACTGCATGATAAAGAAAGTCACTTACAAAACTCTTCATTTTAAAGCAGGTTTAAGATTAAAGGACTCCCACTTAACTATGGAGGTGTGCTAGAGCAAGCCCAAAGTCTTTGCTAATTAGTTATCAGTTTATAGGACAAGTCTGATATGACCTTTTATTGGACTGACTGTCCTTTAACGTACTGGGTATATTATACTTTCTTTTTGCATCTCCAAAAGGAATATTTCTGTTCTTTACTGTTTTGTTCAATGTAAGATTTTTTTATACCTTGAATTCTATTGGCAAGTCTTAACTTTTTGTTAATTCTATTAACACAGGCCTTGTTTTCATAGAAAAGAAAGAAGGTGAAGAATAATCATAGAGTTGGAAGAGATCACATGGGCCATCTAGTCCAATCCCCTGCCATACAGAAAAACCACATTTAAAGTATCTCTGACAAATTTAGCCACCCAGCCTCTGTTTAAAAGTTTCCAAATAAGTAGCTTCCACCACACTTTGAGGCAGTGAGTTCCACTGTTGAACTGTTCTTACAGTCAGGAAGTTCTTTCTAATGTTAAAGTGGAATCCTTTTTTCTTTTTTTTTTCTTTTTCTTTTTTTGTAATTTGAACCCATTGCGCAGAGTCCTGGTTTCTAGGGCAGCAGAAAACAAGTCTTCTTCCTTATGACATCCTTTCAAATATTTATACATGGCTGCTGTGTATCCTTTTAACCTTGTCTTCTGCAGGCTAAACACGCCCAGCTCTTTAAGATGCTCCTCACAGGACATGGTCTCCAGACCTTTTATCATTTCAGTCTCCTCCTCTGGGCACCTTCCAGTTAGTCAATATCTCTTTTAAACTGTGGTTCCCAGAACTGGACACAATATTCCGATGAGGTCTGACCAAAGCAGAATAGAGAGGTACCATGACTTCCCTTGATGTAGATAGTATACTCCTTTTGATGAAGCCCAAAATCCAAAGATGTCGGAGTGCAGTATGACTTCAGGTCAGTCTTCATTGTGCAACCACAGAGAATCA